ACAGATGCGGTAGGTGAAATGACCGGATCGCGTAATTGGATGACATTATCCATTTTCGCAAGTGACTTAGCCCTACCTTAGTAGTGTCTCGTTGAACATGAAGCTAATGACAAGATACCTTTATGTAGTCCAAAGCCATGACCAGTCATGCCACAAACCTTCAGGTTGAGCTACTTGACAAAGTGCGGAAGCCAGCCCCCATCAGAAAACTTGGAAGTTCACTGAGAACACTGAGTCAGCGATCTCAGCGCGTTCATTCGGCTCAGCAGATGCTTTCAGCGTGGCAGTGGCTCAGCTGTCAGCACAACGAGGTTTTTACCTCGCTTCGCTTCAGCAAGCTTCTGTCAGCGTTATCAGCGAGCTCAGCACCTTCACTCTTGTCAGGCTTTCAGCATGACAAGGGTATTTTATTAAATTGTAATAGATATGAATTAGATTATACAGCATTAGTCTTTAGGCCTACTGACATATACTTGATTGGGCGATATCAAAACAAAACCATTTTGAGAAATACTTTACGGCAGCGAAAGTGCATGCGCAAAAAAGAGCAATGTATTCCAAAGATATGAGACTCTTTTTTAAATATTCATTTCAAATTTGACAGGTTTGTACTCCATACAACGTAGGTACAAGTAGAGTGTAGACTAGCCTCAAATAGCTCTTAACAATGAGCTCCGCGCCTTCGGACAGAAGCACTCAAGAGTGAGTCCAGCGCTAGGTGTCAATGCCTTACAGTTTTCAGGCAGACAATGCACGCGCCCCTAGGTAGGGGATGCGCAGATGGTCCTCGCGTGCGGCACATCGTGTCAGCAACCCACAAGCGAGTAAAAGGACAGGCTGTAGGCGGGAAAGCAACTAACGTCCCGCCGGAGCGAGGTGGGGTGCCGGACTTGAGGAGGCGGTAGAGGCAGCGGGGGAGCGTGATGTGTTGACAGCATCCCGCTCCTCCCAATGGACGAGGAGGTTCTAGGCGCATGTTTCAACCGTGCACAACTCTGTGAAGGCCTCGAAGTCAGCACTCCAAGAGTAAGTCATATCAGCTACTTTATTTGATTCACAAATAATGACGACTTTCCGTAACAATGACTGTGCAGAGGGCCTCCTGTGGTCGACGCTGGTCATTTCACAATCAGTCAAGCTCCGAGAGTCAGTGGATACTTACCATTGGAAGACAACCATTTGAACTGAAGTTTTTGCAGCGAGAGAGGGAAGCATATGGTTGGTGGTTGAAGTCAAGAGGTTGAAGTGAGCGGGACCCATGTGTGGCGTGATTGTTCGGCTGCCAGGACTCGGTAGGCGAGCACACTCCCATTCATTTTTCCCCCTTCACAATCTGCTCCTACGTTCCCCTCAACTCTTCTGTAGAGGTGAGTTTTCTGCCTCTAGAGCTAACCCTATTGATGCTGTGCTTGAAGGTGCAGCTAGGGTGGAGGAGGAGCAACTGCGCTCTTCCCCTGTTTTACGACCTGGATTGTTGTACAGCCAGGTCGTGTCGCTGGTGCTGTCATTGAAGCACAAGGTGCCGTCACTGCTGCCATCTCCCACTCCCGCCAAGGGGAGTCGGTGTCAGCCTACTCCACGATCGTGTGTGTGAGCTCGACAGGCACGAGTCTGACACGGTTCACAAGCGCACCGGATGTGTTCTCGGTGAGCCAGAACTGGGACTGGAAGTTGAGCTCTCTCAGGACAGAGGAGTACACCAAGGTTGGGGGATGCCATTTAGCCCTTCCTTGGCATGGGTGAGTGCAGCGTTTAGAGCAGACGGGCATGAGGGACTTTCTTGGATGTCGAATCCGCGGACGATGGCCACAGGTGCACAGGAGCATTCTGACGAGCTGCCAGGTATGCATCTTGTATGCACCGAGATAGAAGACAGCCATCCCGTCGTAGCTTTAGTTCATACAGATTGTATAGTACTTCCTGTACTAGTATTATGATATTATATTGTTTGAGGATAGTTAACTTATTGTCGCATTATAGCTTGTATTACAATATGGCATACATAGCCCGGCTGAGATGCTGAGCCTGCTGAACGCAGTGATTGTGTCCGCTGAGCTGCTGAGAGCTCTGAGTCGCTGAGGTCAGCGCGTCAGCAATCTCAGTGCGTCAGCAGCGTCCGGTTTTCCTGATGCCGATCGACCAGCTTTCGACAGACGTCTTTCTCGACATCGTGCACCTCGTGGTAGACAACAGACCCGGAAATTTTACATGGCTTCGCTTGATGATGGTCTGTCGCTCGTGGCGAGCTGCGCTGCGCGACGATCCAGGACTTTGGTCTCACATCGACGTCGCAAGGAATGCTCATTTCGTCGATCTCTGTCTACAGCGATCGCATGACCGCCCAGTGCATTTCTGCAATAGTAAATGGAGAGCGGCGGGGTTTGCACGCGTCCTGCCCGACAATCTACACCGCACCCGTAGCCTGGAAATCAGGGACCACAAAGACACTGAATTCAGACCCCTGCTAGAGATACTCTCGAGTTCCTGTGGACCACAATTGGAGACTCTCGAATTGCTGCTTCAAAGCTACAAGGGACCATGCTTATCCTGCACCATCCTTCCTACCAACTACCCACTTCTTCGGTCACTCAGCCTACGTCGCGTGGCCATTACTTGGACTGGCCCCGTCCCGGCGGGCTTGACGAACCTTTCTTTGGATCTGACGCAGACTAATCCGAGCGACGCCTGTATGCCATCAGAAGGACAACTACTAGACGTCATTGAAGCGTCTCCTGGTCTCGAGACGTTGACCATACAAATCAGCGAGGGCCAGCTGCGTCCTATAGCTGTCCGAAGAAGCCCTATCCTACTCTCGCACCTGAAATCCTTCGCCTTGTCCACACGGCAGGAGACCTGGATTTCGTTGCTGTCACACCTGACTTTATCGGAAACAACGTACTTGCAGCGTACACCGTCTGGTCCTGTGGCCTTCATTGACACCATTCATCCCGTGTCTACCTTGTTTCCTACTCACTACCAGTCAGTCTTGCGCCAAGCGACTCGTGCAAAGACCTTGCGCCTGTGGGCAACGAGTTCATGCTTCTTGTTCAAAGTTATTGTCGATCTGGGACCAAATCCACAAAACGGGTTGGTCACATTCCAGTACACGGATGTCGACTTTGCGCCAACTTTCTTTGGTGCTGCGCTACGAGATGTTGCAGAATCTTTCTCTGCATCTCCAATCACGTCAGCCACATTCTTGGGCGATCAGAGCAACGTGGGCGAGGAAGACTGGCGTCGAGCCCTCTGCGCTCTACCGCGTTTGGAAACATTGCTTATCGGCGACCATGGTAGTCTCGACTTATTTTGGAAAGTGCTTGGGTCCAGACCAGCAGACGGAGAGGCCGTGTACTGTCCACACCTCCGAGTGGTACGCGTTCATTCTATCACGCTTAAGGACGCGACGATGGCAGTCCGTGTCGCCCGGTGCTTGCAGTCCCGTGCGGCCTCTGGTCACAGGCTCCGTCTGCTTGCGTACCTCTGCTGGAACGTACCGCCTGAGGGGCGAAATATGATTAGAGCTGAAGTAGACAACTTCTATGACTGATAACTAAACTAACCTCGCTCATAAAGAAGTCAGACCTATCGTTTTCTTTCGTCAAGAAGGGGGTTTAGTGTATCTTCAGCCTCCATGACTCCTGTGCTTCTGAGGGAGCAACATTGCAATGCATTCGTATAGTGTCAGTGAGGACTGTGTGACTCGAGAAGTTGACAATGAGAACTAATGATCGCATATGAGAAATGGAACTCGCTATACAAGTTGAATGATGTAGATGCTAGCATACTATGGACGGAGACATGGTGTTGTAATATTAGATACTCGTCCATCTAGCAACTGTGATAAACCTGCAGCCGTTGAATAGTTTTCTGCCACTACCCTCGTCAGCATTATCAAGGTGTCTCGGGCCTCGCCGAAGCTTATGTAAGGGAAGCGATCGAGAGAGGGACAAATGACGCGCAAATAACGCGTCCCATTCCCGGCCCACGCCGTCGCGCATATATCCACGTACATCCTCACCGGTACGTTTTCATATCATGGGGAAAAGGGGAAAGCTGATTCATATATGAAGCTCAATTGTAGAAGCGCAACTCACCATGCTAACATCGTCAGAGAGAAATAACCCACTCACATTCTCGTATCATGGCAGCCTTTCCGGCGAATATCCGCGCTTCGGGTTCTCTCTGGGCGCATACAGCTACTCACCACGGGTATACCGAGAGTCAGCACTGCGAAAAACCGATGGGAAAACATCATCTGATGCCGACCTGTATCTCTACGACCCCTCTGAGATTGCTGCAAAATCCCCTTTCGCGTCTGCCGACGAGGAACAACGCGAGCAACACTCTCCTTTCCTGCTCAATAGTTCTCAAACGTTAGGGGATACGAGCTCCCCATACAGTCTCACTCCGAGAACTCCTATTGAGAACCTGTTCAGCTCATCTCCTGCTGGGTACTGGATGGCCGGTAGCTCATCTGTGTCACCTATATTTCGACACTCGTCTTCCGGTCATGGCTCTGAACACGGGGTCAGCACGCCTAGCTCGGAAGGGAAGATTCAATCCCTCGCTGACTATCAAAGGTCGCAAGAAATGCGCCTCAAATCATCGCAACGGTCTTTGGATGCTTCCTCGCCATCTTCTCTGTCAAGCCTATCCTCAGTTCCATCATCTCCGTCGGTGTATGGATCTCCGAGTTACTCTGCCTTCGCTGTTTCCCGCTCCCAGCGGCCGCACCTACCTCAGTTCTCGCGCTCGCGCTTGTCCAGCAACGCTGCCTCCCCTGGGAGCCGCTATCCGACCCGCTCAAAACTACGCACAAGTACTGTCGCACCTCCTGTGGACGACGGAAGAGAAGAATCTGACCATGAAGACGTGCCCAGACCCAAAAAGCGGCGCCGTACTGCCGATATTGGAGCCGACGACTCGAGCACTGAAGAAGAGCTCGTCTTGGTGCCAGATACTCAGCCACCGAGCCAGCATCCTAGTCGCACGTTTCCGTTGCGAGTCCCCGTCAATCCTGAATTCCCCCTGTTTTACGAGCGTTTTCATGTCAGCTCGTTCTGTGTGGAGGACAGTGACAAGTGCGTATTCTTTTTAGCTTTGCATGCATTGCTCTGAGTCTCGATCGTCGTCAAGGTATCTGACCTGTAAAGGACTCTCGGACGCAACTTTCAATCCTCCTCGTGAGCCGTTCGACCTCTACACACCGCGGTTCGTGAAAGGGAAGGGTGCTACCAAGGTAAATTTTGGCGCAGGCAGTTTTCGTCGGCGTTGATTTTGCTTGCAGGTCGGTCTGTGCCCATGCTGCTGCGAGAGCATCACTCGCGGTGGCGAAAATAAAAAACTTTGGCTGTCCATGAAATTTTCTGCATTCAAGTGGTATGTCATTCGTCGTGACTCAAACCGCATATTTTCTCATGATCATTTCAGAGTATCTTCTAAGCCGCGTTGTTGACGGTGGTCTTGCTCACCTGCGTGTCTGCAGTTACCATATGCAGTATGCCCATGGTGAGGTCGCTGCGTTTCTAACCTATACACCCGAGTATTAAGTCAGTGACAACCAGGTATCTCGGCTATGACCGGACGGCCATTCTCGCCTCCCCTGGCTTTCCGTACAATCTCTCGCACCAATGTTGGCAAGCACGAGAAAGCCGTGCTCATGCAAGGGAAGTGCCACAAGTGCGTGAAGTGGGTCCCGGTGGAAGGGATTAAGGATGTCGCGACTAAGGTGAATCATTTTCGCTAGCCTTGTACATTCTGTGACTGAATGTTGGCCTAGGTTAGAGAGATCTATTGGTACGTACTTCCTCATCGAATGTGGTGCAATGACGTTGAGACGTGTCTTGCACAGGTGGAAACATGCGGCCTCTTGCCACCAAGGTTCCACTGTAGAGGGTGAATGCGACATTTTCGTGGAAGATGATGTGTATAAAAAGCTGCTCGAAGCCAACGACGACCTGGAATAGCTTTGACGTTGGTGCCACCGATACTCTCTCGAATGCGCCTTTTTCACTGCTGTTACACTGCTTTGTACCCATTGCTCTGTTGTCTTATTCGTTGTTTGCTGACATACAAGCACTCAACTGTGCCACATGTGCGGCATTCTGTCTTCATGTTCTCTCGCATCACCACTCCGCAATTTGTTCTCGCCGTCTCATACGCGCATTGTGTCTGAATCACTGTATTCTCGTATAAAAATGGATGGACTGTTGTTCGACGCTCCGGCACATGAATCATGATGCGAACGTATGAAGTCGAAGGCATGATCTGGTCAAGCACATTCAGCCGAGAGGTTTCCCACGGGTTCTAAACTCCTAAATCATACTACCCATGGCCAGACTCGACGGACGCCACGACGTTCTGTACGCACAACTTCAGCGCCGCATGCTTGAGCACGGAGAATGGCACAGGTATATCACCGAAGGATCACGCGGACAACGCATGGATGTCTGATTTTTTTGCTTGAATTGTGGCAGGCTGTCGACTGTTCTGGCTGATAAGCTGAACGAAAACGGGTGGCTGGACGATTTCCGGCATCAAAGCAAAGGCATGTTCGATCCTTTGATAAACTATGGCACCTATGTATTGAGACGTCTTCAAGAACTAGCACGAGACGACACCATGACGGTGGAAGCTATCATGTCGGGACTTCGCCCCCGTGCAGAGGGTTGTCCATTTATTCTATAGTAGGAAGCCAAGGCTAATAATTATCGCCCATAGAATGTGTATCGCCACAACTCAAGCAGGAAATGATTCTACTAATACGGCAATATCTAGAGAAACAAGTCGAATGATTTTTTGAGCAGAAGCCACAAGTTGCAACTTGACTCTCCTCGCGTCACTAGCTAACCGTCTCATTGCACCTTCTACATACCCCATGTACATTGTATGATATCAATCCGCAATATACGACATCTATCATGCGGCTCTCGTTGTTCATATCCATGGCCTGACTGCCTCAGGTTGCCCGTTCTCAATCACTCATCATGTAGCGTACTATTAGTTGCCATTTGCGGACTGCCCATCCCACGTGGTTCACGATCACTCTCGCTGCCGGCGTCTATACAGCGCTGTCCTTCTCCCAGCCATGTTCTCCCGCTCTTGCAGGAAGGCTTGGGCAATAGCTCGGTCCTGGGCCCGGTCCCAAAGTACTTCCACGTCGTAAGTGACTGGTATCGTTATAGTTGAGGTGTCTGACGATGGCACAGAACTCCGTCCACTGGTGCGCTCCCGGCGGAGACAGAACGAGCATGGGCCTCAGCAGTGGTCAACGGCCGCGGTACCATGCAGCCATACTATCATCCTAAAACGCACGGGATCCCTGTCGCTCTCGTCCACTTTCGGTCCCACTTCCCTGCGCTGCTGGACCAGTTCACTCACTTTACAGCGCACGCCGCGGCCGCCCTCGCCATCCCCGTCTCTAAAACCGTCCACCTCCCGACACAGAGATCACTGTGGACCGTGCCGCGAGGCCCCTTCGCACACAAGAAGTCGCAAGAGAACTTCGAGCGCAGAGTACACAAACGGGTCATCAAGGCCTGGGACGCCGACCAGGAGGTCGTGGAACGATGGATCAAGTACCTTGAAGAGCACACCATGGCGGGTGTAGGCATTCGGGTGGTCCGGTGGCACAGGGCACCTGTCGGCGTAGGTACGAAACAGCTGGAGCACACCATCAAGCAGATGCGTATTGGGTCCGAGACGCGGTCGGAGAAGGTGAAGGCTCTGGGGGAGAAAATCGTTCAGCAGGAGATGGCGGCGGCCGCGCAGGTCCAGCAACTAGAAACGCCCTCATCATAGTATTTGACTAGCTCGTGCTTCTCGCAACAATCATATACTTTCTACCTTAGGTGTGCTCAGGCATCTTCTGCTCCTGCTCCCCTGCGTCGTTGGACCAGTTCACTCCATGGCACACGCAGTAGCCTCGCTCGCATCGCGTTGTCGAAGCTTTGCAAAAAGAGTCGTGACGAGGGGCATCTGCGCTCTCTATCCTCTCCCGCGCCCGCACGGGACAATGAACTGGTAATGACATCCTGAGCCTTCTTTCAGATTTGCCTATCAACCTTCTACAAGGCAGTGCACTGTATTTGGCTTCCATTCCCGCTGCGCCACCGATGAAGACAGCCCAGAGTCATTACCGCTGTACTTTGTTAATATATCGCACAAGTGCGACTGCACTTTAAGGGGAGTATCTGTCTAATGCACCAAGTGGCATCTGGGTGTACTGATGGATGCATGTGCATATCACAGCCGTCTTACTTGTCGGGAAACGGGCTCGTGCATGGTTCTCAGGGACACAATTTGAATAAATATGGACCAAAACTATGCAGTCTCCTGAGTTCACCTTCCAAAGGAAGGAACACTTCAAATCCACATATCAAGGATGTCGAATAGCTCTGAGCCAGAAAGAAGTCTGTTGCAATGGGCTCACTTAGCGCGAGCGATGAATGCGAAAGGCCAAAGATCTACCTTAGTCGACGACACAATGTCGAAGCCAGTCAATTCATGGCCGACTTAGCATTGCATTACCGACATGGCAACAGGCTGCTCGTCTTGCTCCTGCACATTGGCATCTTCGTCATCAGAAAAAAGGTCAGCATTGCATGTTTAGTCGTTGTCGTCTCCAATGTCCATAAAGAATTCCACACTGGAAATCCAGGAGCATGTCTCTAGACTGGCAGTGTCAGCAACTGGCTGACTATCATTATCCTGGCTACCGCTGGATGCATTGCATCGACTGGTGGCTGAATGGATGTGGAGGAGGAACCATCCAACAAGTATAGATGATAGCCTGTGACACTGTAGGGTTGGTGCATGCTGAGCACAAGAAAGGTGGAAATACGGACACACTGATAAGAGACACGATGCCATTTATGTTCTAGCAAGTTTGTGAGATTGTTACTGTCTGCCCGATAATTGAAACATTTGTCTTTCCGTTCTATTCCTTGTACTACTAGCGCCCATACTGGTGCCTGTCTTAGCGCTCACCCGCAGGTTGAACATTATGTAGCTTACATAATGGGGTCCATGCGCACTTTGTACTCGGCATCATACCACTACGTTTCTTTCTTCACTAACACGACCACATAGACACGATGGTCCGTGCGCAGTCGGTACTTGTATAAGTAGTTGTACCATTAGTCGGTCGAACCCTAAGTTCGACCTGGTTATCCATTCAAGTCTCTGCTCCTCTTCGCTTGGGGTAGTTGTTAAAGTTCGTCCGAGACCCGAAGCGAGAACGATCAACAAAGATATATCGCGTTTGTCTGAGCTCTGTCAAACGCGTAAGGAACATACAGGACGGCTCGCGCAAAGTCTGCGAGGTACTACAAACAATGCCAAATACGGTGGCATGCGCTCGCCACAATCTCAAGTTCCAACAGTAGTGGTCATTCTCGACTTCCTCGCTCGATCTT